GGGTGATTTAAATTTTTACTAATGAATATTTTGATTTACATACCGAGAGACATATAATAGTGATATATTGTGTCTCTGGCATGCCTGTTTCTTTCTTCATTTTTTTAAAAATTTATTTTCAGTCGTAAACGGTACATATTGCCTTTCATAACAAAGGCTGAAAAAGAGACCAACCAAACAATTTTGAAAAAAAAGAAAACATTTTCTTTTTAATTATATTAATTATATATTATATTAGTTATATAATGGATCCAGTTTGAATGCAACAAATATGTTTCTTTGTTTGTAGTGCTGTAAATAGTTGCCCTGTACTCTTTCTGGGTGTTGTTATATTATTGGTCCTTCGGGATCATCAATTATTGAATTCCGCTTAAGCCGGTGCCGGGGGGGGGGGGTAATAATTTTTGCTGTACAGAATAAGCACATCATGTGATAAAAATGTGATGGTTTGATGTAGGAAACATTTTTGTCATAAGTTTTATTATATTAAATTGAAATTGTGTTCGTTTATAAGATGATTTGATTTTTGTGCAAAAAGAAACGTGTGTGTGTGGTCGTAAAATATTACAAAATCTTGAAAACTGCCATATATTTAAAACAAGGACTTTTTTTAAATTATAAGGAACAGTTCTGAAAGAGAAAAGAAATACTCTCTCTTCTTTAATGTTCTTTTAAATTTTTGAATATTTGAATATCTATTTTATGTTGTATTATTGTTATTGCAATTGTGCTTCAATTACTTTTCAAGACGTACCTCTTCAATTTACATTTCGAGCCATATTATATTGTTTTTATTGTTGTTATTAGTTGTTGTTATTATTATTTGTTTTTTTAAACCGAAATTACTAAAATTAGTCACCAAAAGTGCATCCTACATCATGAAATACTTGTGAATATGCCTATAAGCTAGTGATATATTAACACATTTAGGATACTGTCAAATGTTTGAAATTGATTGATTTAATTTTTAACAATTGAAATAAAAACTAATTTGCATTAGAGGAATACTAGTATATCATTTCGCATATATTACCATCAAAATTGTATAAAATAAAATAAACAAACACTAAATAAATTTAAACAATGAAAAGGTTTTTTTGCTATGATTTCGAAAACAATTTTCACTTTATTTCAACTTTTCTTTCCTAGCAACATTGTATTGTCTTATGATTACAAAAATTTTCAAAATATTGGCGCCTATGATATCATATTAAAAAACCCTCTCCATATGTATATGTATATGTATATCGACTTATGGGTAAAAATTACTTAAGCGACATCAACACCATTTCTTACAATATTCATGCCAAAATCGTTCATTTCTTTTACTTCTTCTCTTATAGCGTTCTTTTTCAAAAACTGAATCATATATTGCGCTGATATACGAAAATAACAAGCAATCGCGAAAACAGAATTGGCATTGTTTTGTGTGTGTGTGTGTGTGTGTTGTTATTGTTGTTGTTTTTGTACGAACATGCTTCATCTGTTGTTTTTGTTTATGGATTTTTGCAATACATGTGGTACTTATTTTCGTGTCTCTTTCCATCCCCTGTTTTAATGGGGACTGACAAATTTCTGGAAACCCTCAAAAAACAAGCCTTTTTGTTAATTAAATACCCACGAAAAAATCTTTTCATGAATAAGCATTAATTTTTTTTGTCTTATTGTTAGATTAGCACCTTTTTCCATTTTTTTTGCAATAACAATAAATTTTTGATTAAAAAAGCGGCATGGATTTTAAAACTTTTCCGTTTTAAATTATTTTTTACCCAAAACCAAAACCTTTTTTAATAGTGGACCTTAAAATTATTACGGCACCCTTTCACAAAAAAATTTTTTGTTTTTGATGTTTTTAAGGTTTTGGGGATTTTCGAATTTACGCCTTTTTCAACTTTTTAAGTCAATCCGGTGGCTTTCCAAACCAAACCGGGTTTTCAGGGAAACAGCAAAAAATTACCAATTTCTCCGGGCATGACCAAACCCAAAATTTTTTAAACTTTGCGTTAAAAAAAGGGCTGTAACCAATGTCCTGTTTAAAACCAAAAAAAAAAACTTTGAACCCGAATGAACAGCGACCCCGGGTTGCAATGATATTTCTCCCTATTGAGCTAAGCGGGCCAACATTAAAAAGACTTTTTCCCCCATTATTTAAATTTTGCTTGAACGTTTTTTGATGCCGTTTTTAAATTTTTTAAAAACGGGGATTTTAAAGCAATAACTTTCCCCCCGCACGGGCCTTTGATTTTTTTTTTTTCAGATAAAAATGTATTACCTAATTTTTAAAAAAGGGCAAAATTTTTGGGGTGTTACCTTTCCAAAAAAACCAAAAGACCTTTTTTTTCCCAATGTTCGGGGAAAGTTTATGTTGGTCGCGTGCCAAACGTTTATAAAAATACAAAACTGATGTTTTTATTATCACTTCACCCCAAAAAAACACAAACTTGCAAGATTTTTAGGGGACTAAAAAACAATATTTTCAATCTTTTTTTTTTTATTTTTTAAATTTCTTAAATCCATTAACCGGGGTAGGAACATAGACTGTTTCACTTTTATAATCCCCAAACAGACCAAAAATCCGGCTGGATTTTTAACTTATTTTTTTGCTTTCCCTTTTTTTTCCATGTTTTCCAAATTGCTTCCCTTTTTCATTTTTTTCCTTGCCCGCCATTTTTTTCCCTTTTTTTCCGGGGGTTTCCTTTGGGTTTTTTTTTTTTTCCATTTTTCTTTTTTTTCCCCTTTTTCCCCTTTCTTTTATTTTTAATTTTTTCCCCCCTTTCAAAATTTTTTTCCCTGCCCTTGTTTTTCCATTTCTTTTCCAATGGGTTTCCCTGCCCGAAAATTTTTTTTTTTAAAAAAAGTTTAAAAAAATTTAAATTTTTTGGGAAAATCACTGAAATGTTTGCGGGAGGGGCCCAAAAAGTTAAAATATTATTAGAAAAGACAATTCCGAAAACAGACCCCTCCCCGGGAATTTTAGGTATGTATTCATTAGTTATTTAAATTTTAATCCCAAAAACAAAGTAAATGTCAACAAATGTATATGCAAATTAAAGTAATGCTAGTATGTAATTAATCTCTTAAAACTTTCCCATTAAGTTTACATCCTGCCCAAATGATTAGGAAAATGTTTTTGGGTCTTATTTAACACTTTCACGTGTGTGTTCTCCAACTTAATTTAGTTGTTTTCTTGATCAATCATTTTTACTTATTCATCAATTACTCTTCTGTTGTTAGGAATGAGGATTTTTCGTGATTCTTCTTTATAATTCATGTATGATAATCATTTTGATTCCATTTCAATTCTTAAATCAATACTTGTTTAAACTTAGCAATATAAGATTATTATTGTTTTCAAATTCAGTATGTTTACAGAAGCAACATATTTATTTCACATCTCTTTCATATATAAAGTGTTCAGAATAATGTTGTCGAATTTCACTCCATGGTTGTCTAAGAAAATGTCAATTTCTTCATTTTATAAATTGTTTCAAGCGAGGAATACAAGTTTTGCCCTGTAATTATGCATTGTATCTACAAGTATTTAAATTTTAATAGAAAAGATTTCCATTTCCATCCAAAAATATCTGAATTACTCAAATGTTTATCATTTCAGAACGACATTGGGGGAATATTATCACCCAAAAACCAATGAGCCCTCCTCGCCATTTAAAACCGGGGTATTTTCCCGATATGGCGGGATGGTTTTGGCGTTCTTTTGAAAAAACTTTTAAGTCATAAGAGGATTCCCTTTTCCAAAATATTTTTCCCTTTAAAAAGGGGACATGGAGAATGAAACAAAATCAGGGTAAAAGACCTTTTGTTGATATCTTTTCAATACCGGATTAGGCGGGTTTTAATGAAAATTTCGCACAAAGAAACTCTCTCCCTAAGGCATTACCGTTTATTTAAATTTTTTCAAAAAATTTTTAAAACTTTAATTTAAATTTGCTAATATAAACACTAAAAAAGAATTTTTTTTTTTTTGATTTTTTTAAATTTAAAAATTTTTGAAAAAATTTTAACATCACACATTTTTCCCGGACAAATTTGGTAAAGACATCTAAAAGAAACGAAAACAAATTTATTGATCAATGCGATGTGAAACCACGTATTTTTTTTCCCTTATAACAATTTCCCCCCTTTAATTAGAGGCCCATGTTACAATCCAACAATAACCCTCATTCAATTTTTCCCTTTACAACAAAAGATATTATTTTTTTGACAGATTTTCATCCCCGTCGACCAATTTTTTAACCCTTAAACTGCTAAAATTTTTAAGAAAAATAAGCCCTGCCCAATTTCCTTTTTTAAAGTTTTAGGGATTTCAATATCAAAATATGAAAGTATAGGTACCAAAAGCATAGAGCCGTGTCCGACTGTACGGAAATGCAGGTTGTTCAAGCTCTGACAAAGGTGTATCCTTTCCGGTTGCAACAGGTTAATGTTTAAAAATAGGTGACTTTTTATACCTCATGCGGAAAGAGATGTTTGAATATATTTATGTTGAAAACCAATCATGTAACAATTCCAACTTGACGGCGCCTTATATTACAAGAATGTATATACACTATGAATATTTTAATAAATGACAAATTGTATGTATGTTGTTCTTTGAATAAAGACGGTCTCATAATACTGCCTTGTGGTAAACCATAAGCTGATCGAAACATGGCGGATTCTCTGTGATTTTCCATAATAAAGAATCATCGACTGAATCAGTTGGGAAAAAATTACTGATAATCATAGGGAATCATACGAAGTCGGAAAAAGCCAAGGAAAGTGCTCTCTGAGAAGAGGTCTGAACGCTTCATTTGCAGAAAATCCATTCAATAAAACGCATAAAAAAGCTTCAAGCTTTCTTTTTAGAAACGTGTCGCCGTCCGTGCACATTTTCGAAAAGTCACTAGGGTGTTGTAGACTGGCGATAAGCACAAGCGAAAAACAAAAGAAATTTTTAATATTAATACCGCGTTGGGAGCAGACAAAAAATACGAAATGCATAGAGGGAACTTTTTTTATTAAGTTAAAGAAGTGAATATTGACAAAAGTTTAAAAAACGCCCTATTTTTTATTAGTAATAGAGGAAAGATTTATACACGTGAGTAAATAGTATTTCAACTGTCATCCTTATTAATAATAAGAGAGAAAGAAAAAAAGAGTAAAAACACAAAACTGGCACTCGTGAAAAAAGTTTCAGTTCATTCATCATGCCCATTTCATGCCAAGGTTGATACACTTTAAAATCCCTGTCCTGAAAAAGAAAAAAAAAAAGAATAAATACGTTGCTACTTGAAGCGGGAAATATAGTCAGTCACATATTTTGAATTTAAAATCGAGAAAAATCCCACTGGTTTCTAATAAAAAAAACAAAACAACATTTATGCCAATGTTTTTAAGTTTAAAATTAAACTACTGATGTAAAATCTTAATGTTAAATAATAAAAATTTAAAAAATAAATAAAATAAAAAAAAATAAAAAAAAATAAAAAAAAATAATAAAAAAATAAAAAAATAATAAATAAAAGTTTTTTTTAAAAACATTACAAAAAGGATAAAAGGGGCCCCGGCCCCTTTCAACTAAAAACTGTTTAAAATAAAACAACCATGTACAAATAGCGCATAAAGTAAGTAGACCACAACCAAAAAAAGTGAAAACCCTGTCCGTTACCAACTTTAAAAATTTTGAGAAAAAATATTTCTTTTATCTAATTACAGTTTCCGGGGGGGGAAATAGGGAAAAAAGGGTTTTTATTGGGTTGGATGGAAGGGGAAGGGAAAGGAGGATTCACGGGCAGTAACATTTTTTTATGTGCTTTTTCATTGATCTTTAGGTGGCACTTTCCCACATACACCAGTAAAATAAGCCCCATTGATCAGTCGGTTTATGAGATTTTCTTCTTTTTTAAGATTATAGACGGAATGAAGCTCAAAAACCATTGGATGTATGCCCGGACAGACGGACGGACGGACGGACTAATTTATTCATTCATTTATTTATGCAGTGTATAGTATTTTTTACTTTGTGTCAAAATACTTAAAATGATTAAAGGCACATTAAGCCTGAGAAACGATTATAGTTTTCCTTCTTTGGTGAAGGCGAACATGAGTTTTATAACATATAAATAATAGTTTTAGAGCATATTAGATGCTTATCACCTAAAAAAAGTAACTTTGTATGTAAAATTATTTGTCATTAAAGTTGCAAAATGTATAGCCATAATAGTATTTTGACTTCCATATAAAATACTATAAATTTACTTATTTATTTCCAAAAAAAAAAAAAAAAGTAAAAGATGGTTCATGAAATTGGTCAATGAGTAACTTTAATAGACATAGACACCAAACATTAAAAGCTTTCGGGAAATTAAAATCACAGTATTTCTGTGGCATAATGGGCCTTTAAATACATTGCTTGCTAAATTAGAATAATTGACACAGCAGGTTTATTGATTTTTAGTGAATTAATTGAATCTCAGAAATTTATTATTTCTATCATCTTTTTATCTGATTTTATTTTTGTGCAAAGTTCAATTTTGATAAATTATTAATGAATAAAGCAAATGGAAAATTTCAAAATAATGAGTATATTACTCACGCTGTTAGATCCATTTAACATTATGTTATTACATAATTAATTGTTTTTTAATATTATATGGGTCAAATTGTCACGACATATTTAACCTAATGTAAAGAGAGTTTGATTGATCACGTGACACTTTTGTGTTTTATTTTATTACCAGAAACCAAATAAAATTAGAATTGATCATTATCATACAAAGTTTTGCATTTTCTGTGAATTTTATGTAATTCTGGTATTTGTAAAATAAAACCATGAGCGAACATGTCGCTACATATTTATTAACTCGGTACGAAAATAAAACGCAGACTGGATTGAGTGGTGTTGCTAGTGTACTTTCTGGATCACGACAATGAGTCAGATTGAATTTACCAGAGCACAGTTCAGTCACCGCATTGCTTCTGTGTAAGCTGTCAAGCCGTTTACCAGTACTAGTTGCCTTCACTTTCGCAAAGATCGGATAATTTCTGTACATGCTAGAACACGCACTGTGCCGTATAAAGGATTTTTATGATCAATCACAACGAAAGTGGCCTGCGATGTCCGGGAATCGAACCTGGGTCTTCCAATTCACAGTCCAACGCTCTACCTACTGAGCTAATCGGACGGCTTAAAAACGCCCTTACTGCAGCAGCTTTTATAAGATTATGTAATTTATTTTATTTGTTATAAAGGGGACTCATAGTTGATGGTTTAATATAAAATTTATACCAGTTTTTTTGGTTGTTCTTTGTTGTTGTTGTTATTTTGTTGTGTTTTAGTTTTGTGCTTTAGTTGTTGTTGTTTGTTATTGTTGATGTTGTTGTTTTAAAGTTTGTTTGCTCGTTAGTTGGATAGTCGGTTGGCCAGCCGGTCTATTGCTAGATGTGGCAGGAATGGGTAATTTTGAATCGTATTTTGACAGGAAAAAACGACTATAATTTGCAATTAAAGGAAATTTGGGTTAGGACGAACCTATTGGAATATTTGTTTCCGCATTTCCCGAGCTGAAACTAGACCACCGTAATCATTTAAATACGATTGATATGTTTCTAATGAAGATAAATCAGGGAAATCTTTATTTATCAAATTAAATTTCAGAAAGCGTGACTAACGCCCTTTTTATTTTCTAAATTTCTTACAAATTGTTCGGAATATTTCTTCGGTGACTATATTACTTTCGTTAAATATCCTAAGGAAATGATTAAGTTTCTTTCGTTCAATATCTTACGTAATGGATTACATTTCTTTAGTTGGGTATCTTACGGAAATGATTATATTCTATCGTTTGATATCTTACGAAAATGATTAAATTTCTTTCGTTCAATATCTTACAGAAATGATTACATTTCTTACGTTTTATATCTTACGGAAAGTGTTAAATATATTTCGTTCAATATCTTACGGAAATGATTACATTTCTATCGTTTTATATCTTACGGAAAGTGTTAAATATATTTCGTTCAATATCTTACGGAAATGATTACATTTCTATCGTTTTATATCTTACGGAAAGTGTTAAATATATTTCGTTCAATTTCTTACGGAAATGATTACATTTCTTTCGTTCAATATCTTACGTAAATTATTACATTTCATCTTACGGACATGTTTAACATTTCTTTTGTTTAATATCTTACAGGAATGATGAATTTCGACGGGAACTTTTTTTTATCCCATAATTTCCCCCCAAACAATGCAATTTTTTTAAAAACCCTTGTAAAAATTTAAATAAAATAAATCAAATAATTTACCCCAAATATATAAAAATCGTTTTATATGAATTATTTTTTAAGTGGCAAGCCTTTCCCTACGGTAAATGGGGGAAATTCTTAAAATTTTTTACAGTTTTATTTGCAAAAAAATACCTTTTGCATAGCATAATTCAAATGGGGGTCTTTCCCTTTTAATTTTTTTTGGTTTTTGAACTCTTTTTTAAAAATTTTCAACTTAGAACAAAATTTGAAAAATTTTTCGCAACAAAACCCAAGATTTCCCCAAGAAATAGTCAACTTTTTTTTTCACTTCTCAAAATCAAAAAAACCCAAATGTTTGGGGTAAAACGGATATGAGAAATAATTTACTTTTGTGGTTCCGCTGGGTTTTATGTTGTTGTTTTTTTCACCAACGAGTTCAAGCTAAAAAAGCTAAACTTAAACGTGTAAACATAGCACAATAGCAGTAACCGTTTAAAATATTGAGCCATCTATCCTCATTTACGATAAATGAATTATCAAACGTGGAAAATTACCTTAAAATATTCAGGTCGACATATTTTGTCCCAAGAAATTTCCAAATTTCACCACGAGTAAACATACGTTTCGCTACGGTGGCACAAAAGTGACATGTGTGTGTGTGTTTTTATTTATCTCGTGCGCACGAGATACTATGTCGAAGCCACGAGTTAGTGCCACAAGATACTATGTCGTGGCCACGAGTTACTTTGTCGTGGCCACGAGATGATTAAGTCGTGGGCACAAGATACTATGTCATGGCCACGATTTACTAAGTCGTGGCCACGTGATAATTAAGTCGTTGGAACGAGATACTATGTCGCGGCCACGAGATACTATGTTGTGACCACGAGTTACAAAGTTGTGGTCACGAGATAATTAAGTTGTTGGTATGAGACACTATGTCGTGGCCACGAGTTACTAAGTCGTGGGAACGAAATATCTAAGTCGTGCGGACGAGATCATTAACCAATCAGATTACACTATATATATTATGAATTTTTTAAACTTAAACTTAAACAAAATCTGTGTAAAGTTTTACATGCAATATTAATCTTTGAAAATACATCAGATATTCACTTTGAACTTGTCTTTAGGATCATATTACTAGGTGACCTTCCAAGGCCTATCATACATTCATTTTGACTATAGCCCTTTGTGGGGACAATTTGGTCAGTTTGTACATGTACATACTACGGCCTGTTAATCTTGTTTATACGATAACATGAGAAGGAATGAGCACTGTTTATTTTATTTGGTATGGACATTGCCCATGGACAGTAGATAGCCTATAAGGACGTTTGAAGTCAAGGGTCAAGGTAACCAGGACACTTCATGTAAAATGCTTGTCTGATGAAAAATTTAGATGGAATAAGCCATGGTTTATAGAACCTAGAAAGATCATTGCACCTGATCAGTAGATGACACCTAATAATTTCGAAGTCATTGGGTAACGAATCAGGGCCACAATGACGCTAAATGTAAAATTATTGACTAATCTATGACTTGTATAAATAGCACTTTTACAGGCTGGTGAAGTACTATAGCACATGTCTAGTTAATTAGGAAAATTAATATAAATGTTGTAATCTGATTGGTTATTTATCTCGTGACCTACACTTAACTATTTCGTGGCCACGACTTAGTACTCGTGGCCACGACAAAGTATCTCGTTCCCACGACTTAGCTATCTCGTGGTCACAACTTAGTACTCGTGGTCACGACATAGTATCTCGTTCTAAGGACTTAGCTATCTCGTGGCCACGACATAGTATCTCGTGCGCACGAGTTAAATTAAAACACACACATGTCACCTTTATGCCACCGTATTTAGCTCCTTGCCATTGGTAAGAAAGTAATACTTTGACCATTATTGACATGGTCAATGTGCCGAACGCCTGTGGTTAAGACTAGGAAAGTTCCGCATATGTCGCCATTTTCCGTGACAGATAAAAGTCATTAAGCATCGAAATAACTATAAGAGGAACTTAAAGTAAAACGGAAAGTTACAAATTTGGTCGAATTTAAACGAACTATCTCTGGATGATATGAGAAACAAGATGACTATTCTTACATTTCTAAAATGAATTTGAATAAGTCTTATAAAAAGAAACAACTGTCTCTGAAAATGCTCGATCATTACTTTTAATTTAAAATTCGAAAACAATGACAATAATAATAAGAAAAACCTTTATCTTAAAGAAGAGACCACCTATGGCGTTTTCTTAACACAAAACTTAAATGCATTGATCGATTTTTTTCTTCATTTGTTATGTATGTGTTTTTTTTTCTTATGACGTAAATATTTATTTCATGTAAAAGATGGTAAAGGATGTACATGATTTGGGAGAATTAAAACATATTCTACATGATTTTGAAAAATGTTAAGAAGAATTTCAGTTAACACTTGAATAAATCCACTTTTGTAATCTTATCACGTGTTATCGCATGGCTTCCCTTCCCTTGTTTTCTATGTTATATCAGTACATATGTTTTATGTATCTCTTATCATATGATCTATAAATGAGCCGCGTCACGACAAAACCAAAATAATGGGTTTGCGACCAGCATGGATCCAGACCAGCCTGCGCAGCCTGATCAGGATCCATGCTGTTCGCTATCAGTTTCTCTACTTGTTATATGGTGTGTAAGCGAACAGCATGGATCCTGATCAGACTGCGCGGATGCGCAGGCTGGTCTGGATCCATGCTGGTCGCAAACACATTATGTAGGTTTTGTCGTGACGCGGCTCAAATAGCTTTGAAATGCTCAACGGGAAGATCAATCGCTCACTCTTTGCAGGTACAGCTATGAAAATTTCTTGCCTAAACAAATGAGCAGTGTTCTTGATGGGACTCTAACCCGGGACCTATTTGTCCAGATGCGAATATCCTATAGCTGGAGCTTTGCCCGCAATGAATCTAAATCAAATCTTTTTTGAGAATTGCTTGCATGTGGGGTGGTCAGACAAATAAAAAAAAACAAAAAAAGTGACCCCGGATTGTAAGAAATTTCAGTATCAAAATCTAAAAGAAATAAGCCATCATAAGTAATATCTAGCCAGACTGCACGGAAATGGCTGGCCTGGCTCTATACTGGGGGCAAAGGCTTATCGATTTCTGTACCACCAGGTTTAGATTTAAAGGTCAAAATGTGCTGTAATGTTAGTTAATGAGCATGGTATGAGCGGACAATATAATAAACGTGACATGAACAAAACAACATAAATAAACGACACTCACATCACATAGGACAATACAAGAAGCTTCACATTGATGGCGGCCTAATCTTCAAACATATCCCGTAAATATCCCATTCCCATAAAACCACCGTAGAAACCATTGTATCGGCCAAACATCATCTCGAACATGTCGTCCTGGTCGTCATCTATGAAAAAATAAAAACGCGTACATATAAAGCGACATTGCCATGTGTGTTTTTTTTTACCTGTTAATTCAGTGTTGTAGAAGATTCGAACCCGACCAGAGCCGATCTAGTCATCGTAGCCCCAGTCGTCACTATACCCACTATATCCGCCGTATCCGCCGTAGGAGCCGTAGGAGTAATAACTGTCACCATAATCATCGTCATCTATATATAGATAGGAAAGCTTTGATATATATTTCTTTTATACTTACTTATATATGACGTATTGAGAAATATTGATGAGATAAAATGCATATTTATCATTTTCCATATTTTCACAGAAATTCAAGTTTGTTTTCTATAAACACAGGATATATTGTCATCTCTTGGTATGAAAATTATCATATTTCATTCGTGGATACCGCCAATAACGAAATTATTTTATCATACCACTCAATGAAAATAAATCCCGCATTTATAGAAAAAAAAGACTTTATCCTCTATATATTCAACTAGGTGAGTGATTAAAGTCATGTCGTGTTTTTACTTTTCCGCCAGCCGCAAACACATATTTATTTACGACAAGGTTCGACATAGTCGTATATTCGTGTTTTCCGCATTTCCACATAAGCGAAACACGACATGGCGTAAATGAGCCACAACATTCAACAAATGAGCCGCGTATGGAACGCCTGGACTGTCTTATGTGTAGAATGACTGATATACATGGTTAAATGTGATTCTGTTGAGTCCGAGATACAATATGCTGGGTCAAAATCCCAATATACTGGGTGGAAATCCAAATGCGCTCAGTTATTGAAGTGTAATGTTGTGTGCTGATTACATTTTATTCAGTCAAGTCAATGTATTGTCGGGTGCATAAGTCGTTCTGTTCAGTTCTTAAAACAAACAGGCATGTGGTAACACAATTATGTTGAGTTAAAAAGATATGTTGTAGGGTATGACAGTTGTTATGTTCGGTTAAAATAGCTCTTCTCATCATGTTCAACCATGAAAATAAACTGTTGAGTGGTACTATCATTTCGTTTGGCTGAGGCAGTGTATTATTGGGTGATCCTTTTATTATTTTCAGTTGCAATGACATGCTGTTGGGTGCTTTATTCAGACTGTTCAGTCGTGAAATAGAACTGTTGAATAGTACTATCATTATGTTCAGTTCAGATGATGTACTGCTCGGTGCAGAGGTCATTGTGTTCAGTAGTGAACACAAACTGTTGTATGATACCGTCATTATGTTCAGTTCAGATGACATACTGTTCGGTGCAGAGGTCATTATGTTCAGTTCAGATGATGTACTGTTCGGTGCAGAAGTCATTATGTTCAGTTCAGATGATGTACTGTTCGGTGCAGAGGTCATTATGTTCAGTTCAGATGATATACTGTTCGGTGCAGAAGTCATTATGTTCAGTTCAGATAATATACTGTTCGGTGCAGAAGTCATTATGTTCAGTAGTGAACACAAACTGTTGTGTGATACCGTCATTATGTTCAGTTCAGATGATATCCTGTTTGGTGCAGAGGTCATTATGTTCAGTAGTGAACACAAACTGTGGTGTGATACCGTCATTATGTTCAGTTCAGATGATATACTGTTCGGTGCAGAAGTCATTCTGTTAAGTAGTGAACACAAAATGTTGTGTGATACCGTTATTATGTTCAGTTCAGATAATATACTGTTCGGTGCAGAAGTCATTATGTTCAGTAGTGAACACAAACTGTTGTGTGATACCGTCATTATGTTCAGTTCAGATGATATCCTGTTTGGTGCAGAGGTCATTATGTTCAGTAGTGAACACAAACTGTGGTGTGATACCGTCATTATGTTCAGTTCAGATGATATACTGTTCGGTGCAGAAGTCATTCTGTTAAGTAGTGAACACAAAATGTTGTGTGATACCGTTATTATGTTCAGTTCAGATGATATACTGTTCGGTGCAGAAGTCATTATGTTCAGTTCAGATGATGTACTGTTCGGTGCAGAGGTCATTATGTTCAGTTCAGATGATATACTGTTCGGTGCAGAAGTCATTATGTTCAGTTCAGATAATATACTGTTCGGTGCAGAAGTCATTATGTTCAGTAGTGAACACAAACTGTTGTGTGATACCGTCATTATGTTCAGTTCAGATGATATCCTGTTTGGTGCAGAGGTCATTATGTTCAGTAGTGAACACAAACTGTGGTGTGATACCGTCATTATGTTCAGTTCAGATGATATACTGTTCGGTGCACAAGTCATTTGACAATGCGCTGAGTGGTCATACAATTATGTTGGGTTCATTCGGATATCTTCGCGTCAAACAAGATGGCGGGCGGGAGCAACTAATTTCCATAGGTCACGTCGAGGCTAATGACCACTAAATTGCCAAAACAATTACCTATTTGAGTCACACATGGCCACAGTATATAGAACGTTAAATATAAGTATGGAAACCCCATTTGAGACACACATGACCACAGTAAATGGAACATTATATATAAGTAAGTGTAGCCTAATAAAGTCAAACATGGCCAAAGTATAAAGAAAATTTTATATAAGTAAGTGAAACCTAATTGAGTCACACATGGCCACAATATATTAGACAAAATGTTTAAGTCAGGGAAATGTATTTGAGTCTAATTTTATTAGGCTACCCTTACTTATATATAATGTTCCATATACTTTAGTTATGTGTGACTCAAAAAGATTTCCCTTACTTAAACATAATGTTCCATATATTTTGGCCTAGTGTGACTCAATTAGGTTTCCCTTACTTATATAGAATGTTCTTCATAATGTGGGTATGTGTGACTTTATTGCGCTACCTTTACTTATATTTAATGTTGCATATACTGTGGCCATGTGTGACTCAAATAAGTTTCCCTTACTTAAATATTATGTTCCATTTATTGTGGTTATGTGTGACTCAAATGGGTTACCAACAAATACATTTTAAGTTGTATACGCTGTGGCCATATGTGACTTTAATAGGCTACCCTTACTTATATATGCTCCATATACTGTGGCCATGTGTGACTCAAATAGGGTTCCCTTACTTGAATATGATGTTTTATATTTTAAATTTCGTTTGCTGTGTCCATTTGTGACTCTTATAGGTTACCAAACAGATAAATTTTAAGTTTTATTTACGGTGGTCATGTGTGACTTTAACAGGCTACCCTTACCCATATCTTAAGTTTTATATACTGTACCCATTATGACTGTAACAGTATAGTATAGTCATGAATTAACTAAATAAATACCCATAGGGTATTTAAAAGTCCAATTTATGAAAATAACGTTCTTAAGCCCCCGATAATATTTACAGGGAAGAAAATTGTTTTGGCAATTTAGTGGTCATTAGCCTCGACGTGACCTCTCCCGTCTTGTTGCCAGAAAATATCCGAATGAACCCAACATAATGGTTGTATCACACAACAGTTTGTGTTCACTATTGAACATAATGACCTCTGCACCGAACAGTATATCATCTGAACTGAACATAATGATAGTACCAAAAAACCACTGAACATAACGACCTTTGCACCGAACAACACATTGACTTGACTGAAGAAGATATAATCAGCACACAAGATATTGATAGTACCATTTAAGATAATGATTGTACCATTTAACAGTTCTATTTCACGACTGAACAGAAGGAATAAAGCACCCAACAGCATGTTATTGCAACTGAAAATAATAAAAATATCACCCAATAATACACTGCCTCAACCAAACAAAATGATAGTACCACTCAACTGTTTATTTTCATGGTTGAACATGATGAGAAGAGCACAAAACAGCATATTATTATAACCGAACATAATAACTGTAACACCCTACAACATATCTTTTTAACTCAACATAATTGTGTTTCCACATGCCTGTTTGTTTTAAGAACTGAACATAACGACTTATGCACCCGATAATACATTGATTTGATTGAATAAAATACAGTCAGCACACAACATAGCACTTCAATAACTGAGCACATTATGATTTCCACCCAGCATTTTGTATCTCGGACTCAACAGAAAGACATTTAACCAGGTATATCATTCATTCTTAACATAAGACAGTCCAGGCGTTCCATAGCCGCGCCATGACAAAACCAACATAGTGCGTTTGCGACCAGCATGGATCCAGACTAGCCTGCGCATCCGCGCAGTCTGATCAGGATCCATGCTGTTCGCTATCAGTTTCTTGTAATAGGGTTGGAAAGCGAACAGCATGGATCCTGATCAGACTGCGCGCATGCACAAGCTTAAAAAACTGGTGTATATATAACATACCATTAATTTATGGTCTAAACTACAAGTGTATGCTAAAAGGAGAGCATCACAGTTCCTATGCTAGTAACGACAATTTTACCTAATGTAAGGACATACTATATAATACTGCGCTTTTCATTAGATAATTGTGACGATTATAAAAGCTATATACATGTACACGGTTTCTGTCATTTAGTTCTATATTTTTTTTTCTAAAAAAAAAGTCTGCTGTGTTATAAATCCGTTTTGAACATTCTGGCCAGGTTTTATAGTTGTATATAAACAGCAGTTTGTTATATAACCCTCGTAGATACATGTATTGTATAAGGTCATATAACCTGTCAAATATAGGGAGCACGATTAGGGAATAGATTTCCCTTAGCATACTTAGCCTGCTCGCAAAGAGAGCTTTACGGTATGCTAGTGATGGGCCGGAAGTACTGCAAAATGGGAAATTGACACATCGCAACTTTTCGAATTACAAGATAAGGATAAAAGCCAAGGAATTCTGATAGAAAACGGACGCATAGACAGGTGTCCTGCGCACTTTTATAGGAACCATAATAGATAACCAGAATAAACGGAAGAAGTGTATAAAATACCGAATGGCAGTTTCAAAACTGAAAATGTAAAATAAAAATGAACGATTATTTTATACTAGTTCACGGTAAAAGTAAATCGAGCTCGCTTTGAGGCTTTGCCTTTTTCATATTAATGAGGTTAGAAAAATGATGAAAAAGTCACTTATTTCAGCGAAATATTGCATACAAAATGTAAATCGTCATATTGATTGTAAATATCCACGTATTTCTTCTACTTCAGTTGACATAATTTTAATTCTATTTCGGAAATGTGTATTCTCCTCTGGAGGCATGCCAGTTACAAAAACGTTTAATGAAGTTTTGTACGAAAAATAAATACTTTGTTATTGTAAAATTCTAAAATCCTTTATGAAAATAAACAAGTAAAACAAATGAACAGAATGGGCACAAATAAAAAAATACTAAATACACTACAAAAATCGTACAAAAAGGACTGCATCCTCGTATTTTACTCACCATAATTATACCATTGGGCTCTGGCGACTATAAACAAGGCAAACAATACTAGGAGCGTTCTCGTTAACATTTCCAACATGATGTCGTCTGCGTAGAATCCAAAAGTTTTTTTTTAAGTCCTATGAATATGCTTTGAACTCAGAATTTTTAATTAAATAGTAAAAAAGTCTCTTTAATGTAAAATGTAAAGCTGTTTACTGGTTACTTACATTCCTATAAACTGATTTTTCTTTTTAAATCATGCCAGGTTTTTATGTGCGTTTGCTTGATTTAGATTTATTACGCCCAACCAATCACATTGTTATATGTCATTACGACACCCCAATTTGTACTTTTCCATTATCGTTTTAATGACACATTGGCATTATTGATAACTTCAGTGAAATAACTTTATTTACATTAATTACTCGAGAAGTCATTTTGTAAGTATTTAAAATAAAACTGAAAAGGTGCGAGCATTTTTGTGGCGTAACAAAGGCTAAAATCGAATACATGTGTGAAGTTAATGGCCAGAGCACGTGCTCGCTCATTCGCCCACTTCCTTAGGCACGTCTACATGATGACATGAATGTATCTGTTAGCAATAACTTCGTTGCATTTTAATTTCAATAACTGAGAACGATCCGGATGTATCAAGGATACACTTAAAAAAACTCAACTGAGATTTATTGACGTGACGGACCTGGAAATATTTTTTCGAGATTTATTTTATGTAGGTTTATACCAAATAAATGATTCATCCACTCCAGAATAAGTGTACACAATGACCTAAAACCTAAAGCGCTTTAAATCGGGATAAGAAACGCTCTAAATGACGATTTTCATCATTTCGCATCATCTTTCACATATTTTTTTTCTGGTTTTATGTGCGCCAGTTGATCTATGTAAAGAATTCTAACTTTTATGTTTTAGGTTTTTTAACCTCAGTGGAACTCCTGTAAGAACTGAAAATTTGAGTCAAGGATCTTTCAAGTATCTGAAATGTTTAGTTGCGGGTTTCTTAGATACACGTGAAAACACGTCATTAAAATATGAATAAGGATGCGTTCTATACATACATGCATGTTATCGCTACTTCGCAAGCAATGCTTGTCTGAAATTTTCCGTAGTTAGGTCGGACTTTGACGGAAATGGTCGTAGTTGACGGAAATGGTCGTAATTATGTCGGACATTGACGAAATTGTCGCAGTAATGATGGACATTGACAAAAATGGTCGAAGTAATGTCGGACTTTTACGGAAATGGTTGTAGTTATGTCGGACATTGACGAAATTGTCGTAGTTATGATGGACATTGACAAAAATGGTCGTAGTAATGTCGGACTTTCACGGAAATGGTTGTAGTTATGTCGGACATTAACGAAAATGGTCGTAGTTATGTCGGAATCAATGCAGTATTTAAAGCATAATGACACTAACCCTGCTGAACACAAACTGCTCCTGATTTCAAACTTAAATACTAAAATTGCGCGGCAGACAATAATGAACCTGGTAATGTTACATTGATATGCATGTCGACCTTGTTCATGGATTTTAAAATTATTCTTATCAGCAAATGACTTAAAAAGACATATTGCAAATTAGAGGGGGTCGCTTAATATATTCAGGGAAATAAATTTTTAGGTTCGAAAGTAAACAGTAGAACCTCACTGTAGAAAGTACAACAATCATGGCAAAAGAAGTATATTTTGCACATTATTTTGAGAATCTAGCTGACTTTATCATTATCTTTAGCAGTATGTTTTTCTTTTGGTTTGTTATATCGGTGTATTTATTGTTATTTTTACTTTCCAGTTATGCTTTTACTGTATGTATATTTTTTTCGCGTTAGAGGGCGTTTTGCACTGTGACGCAATTACTTGAGAAACTACCAATATGGCGACACGTTCACATGCTCATCAGGGTCCGTAATTTAATCTCTAAACCATGTAATAAATATTCAATTTGGTTACAAATAGTATTTCTTAATACACCGAGTCCAATCGTTCACTATGTTTCCCAGGCGGAGAACGCATGAAGAGATCAATTTTACAGGTGGAAAACCGATACTGTGGTAAGAAAATTGTCTTCAATTTCTTTGAAAATGCATATTTCACAAAACTTTATAGCCTATTCTGATCTCGTATGATTACTTTATCCGACAGGCATCTCAAACTCGTCAAATCTTTGTTAACTTATTAGATCATTATCGACAACTGCACAAGAAAAGTCACAAAATTGGTAAAATCGCTCCTTGATAGCCAATAACTTGACAGCCAAGCAAACTTCTAAACATTTGTATCGCTCTAAAGGTTCTTTATTAACACATCCTCATCCACCAAAAGCCTGTTCTATTTCTATTTCGTATTTTTGGAGTATTATATCGTTTAAGCGAATTTTCAAAATGAACGCATGAGCCGAACTTTTCATGTGGTTTCATCAGATTGCAAAATGAACGCATGAGCAGGCGGATTTTTTGGTTACTCCAGTTTTCATGGATATCTCACATGTTATCGATCACTGAACCTTTAAATTCCAAAAATTTTGTTCCCAATGTTTGAGCAAACAGAAGTCCCTTTTTTATACCTTATGACGAATTGCTTATAAGCAATAGATGAAGGTATGTTCGGTTCTGTGAAAATATAATAAATCCTCATTGCTAAAACTTTGAGTAAAATATTTGCAAAATACAACATCATTGGTTGATGGGACTTAAATTTCCTGTATGTTATAATTAAAGATGTAACATACACTTAAAGATCCTGTGACTCAAAATTTTATGTTCTTATATGAAAAATCTTTGGCTTAAATAAAGAATTAACAATGTTAAAAGTTACAGAAAACCTTTTTGATAAGGATATTGCCAAAATTAAAAATTTCCGATAATAAAAGTAGATAATTAGAAATCTGTTTTTGGTAAAAAAAAAATCAGTTTTGCATTTAAATAAAAATTTCACAACTTTTTTTCCTCAAGAAATATCACATAATGTGTTTAATAATGTCAACTTCTTAAGTATATGTTTTTCATAAGAACTGATTTTATATACAACTTTCGCAAGGATGTTACATCCTTAATTATAACATACAGGATCTTTAAGCAAGAATATATATATCAACTTCCTTACAACAAAATGAACATACAAGAACAATGTTGAAATAACACATATTTTTTAGGTTGATTATAAGTTTTTCTTTTAGAAATCATACACTTTTTATTTTAATGAAGAATAGGCAAAGTATTTATCAAAATGTGTTTCTAATTACCTCCCTTTATTTACAGAACTTGTTAAATTCGATAATATCTATGTAAGATTTGTAATATTGGTAATTCTTTATTTGAGTATCAGGTTTATCATATTACACTATTAAAGTTTTGAGGTACAGGGACTTTAAAAGAGTATACATACGCTACTATTTGTCATTTGTCCTTTGTTGTATTTGTTGTTTAATAGTATTCATGTATGATAGTAATTGTATACAATTATTCAGGATTCATGATTTAATTATCAAAGTACATATTTTGTAAAACAATCATTTACAATGCGTGCAAAAATCAAGGATTTTCCCGAAGTGTCATGTAAGATTATTATATAAATCAGCTTAATGTCGTCAGTTGTTGATTTTATTCAACATGACAAGACTTAGTTATCTCTCCATTGTATGTATTAAACAATATTCATTTGTTTAAGTTATTCAATAAGTAATAGAAAGAGCACCGAAACACGAGGTTATCTGATTTGTACGAGGGGGCGTAGCCCCCGAGTATTAATCAGATTACCGAGTGGTTTGGTGTTCTTTCTCTTTTGTATCATAGTCAAACATAAAAACACGTTCCATGCTGTCACAATATGAAACCCCGGCAAAAATGAACCAATGAACGGACATCTGAATATGATATTTCTGTCGCTTTCCCTTTCTCTGCCGTCACAATATGTAAACCCCAGCAAAAATGAGCCAATCAATGGGCATGCTCTGGAGTGCGGGTAACTAATACCCGCACTCCAGTTAACGCACTGTGCATGTATTTGTATACGATTTAACCCTGACACATTTTCAACAGAAAGGTCTCCATACTATGATACAAGAGGTTGTTCATTAAAGCTGATAATATGTGTTATTTTTATTCACAGATTTTAGTTTTGGCCATGGCTGGCACTGGTGGTTCTTCCACGGGTATTATGGTGTCGTATTTTTCCGTATTCTGTAATATTGATAAAAAACACTTCATTCTAGAAGTGATAATTTTTGTGTTCTTAGGTGAAATGGATCAGCTCTCTTCTACGCAAATGTTTTATCCGTTTAACAAGTACAACAGCAATTCCGTATATATAATGTACAAGACAATTTGCACAGTGCAATTATTATTTCTTACCAACTCATAAGCATGGAAATATATACAGCGTACAAAGTATATTTTAATTTGTAAAAAGAAGTGTCTCTCACTTATTTGGATTAAAATTTGAAATTTTTAAAGTTTGAATATGTTAAATTTGTTAGATAATTAGGAAAAACTGGAGTTTTAACTGCCTGCTCATGCGTTCACTTTGCAAACCTATGAAACCACATGAAAAGTTTGGCTCATGCGTTCATTTTGAAAATTCGCTTAAACGATATTATACTCCAAAAATACGGAATAGAAATAGAACAGGCTTTTGGTGGATGAGGATATGTTAATAAAGAACCTTTAGAGCGATACAAATGTTTAGAAGTTTGCTTGGCTGTCAAGTTATTGGCTATCAAGGAGCGATTTTACCAATTTTGTGACTTTTCTTGTGCAGTTGTCGATAATGATCTAATAAGTTAACAAAGATTTGACGAGTTTGGGATGCCTGTCGGATAAAGTAATCATACGAGATCAGAATAGGCTATAAAGTTTTGTGAAATATGCATTTTCAAAGAAATTGAAGACAATTTTCTTACCACAGTATCGGTTTTCCACCTGTAAAATTGATCTCTTCATGCGTTCTCCGCCTGGGAAACATAGTGAACGATTGGACTCGGTGTAATACAACGATGCTGTACGTCCAGATTCTAGGACAGTAAATATAAATTGAACAAACAATCGGCAGTCATTTCAGCTTTCTTGAAAAAAAAAACACACGAAACATTACAAACAAATAGTAGCGATACGTGTCCGCACTGACCAAGACTAAATTAAGACGACATTCGGAATTGCCTCGGCTATTATCTATAATAACCTTATCCGAAGATTGACGGAAAGGGCC